CAACTGTCACTGTCTCCTGACAGTAATATTTTATTGCCTATAATATTTATTTTAATAGTTTAACAATCATATCTCAAACAATCATAACAAGGTTGCTGATAGATAGATACTTTATTGATCTCCCGTAAGAGAAATTCAGGTGTCCAGTAACAGCAGAAACACATACATACATCCATACAAACAATCAGATAATTCTAACAAACAACAAACAGGACATGCAATTAACAGCAATACACCGTTGGAAAATGGGTTGGACGAAACATACGCTTATTTGGCGCCCGTTGGAGCCTTGTGAAGCCTTCAGCCTTGTAATTGGACCGCTGTACTTTTTTGCCTTGACAAATAAGTTTTTGTATTTGTTATAAATTACACCATAAAAACTACACTGTTCAAAAAGCAAGTGCATCAAGATTGAACAACATCCAAGTGGCATATTTACAAAAGCATTTGTATAAAATACATGGATGATATCAATGAGAAGTTGATATCCACTCTTGGGAGTAGACAATAGAGGCAAGGTGAGACAGCAGAGAGAAGGGGAGACAGAGATGAGGCAGTGACAAAGAAGCTCAGGGGCTGAGCGCTCTACAAATCTTTGATGCACTGAACTATAGATAATCAGCAAAGTAATTTCAGATATTGAAATGTTCATGTGCACAGAGTGGAGGAACTGACTGCTAGCATCATAGTGTTTTCCTTATCTCCAAAGAAGCCAATGAGAGCTCAAACTGTTTCCATTGGCAACTCTGTAATTTTTTTTATAGATTTTGATAAAAGCTTACATTAAAGATCAGGTTCATTTCAAAGCCAGGAGTGGTTTTGCAGCTTAAGTTGCAACTTAAGTAAATACATAAACAAATGCATTGAGGTGGCTTCCAACTTTCCCCTTGTCAGCCTGTCAATCAGCCTGTCTTTGTCACACAGCCTGGTTGCCATGGCGTCGACGAGGTATTCATGCTGTGTATAACAAAGAGTGTTATGTGGCTGCACTGCTCTAAGGTTACAAGAACACTGAGGTCTGTTTCCTCCGCTGACAAAGAACCTCACCATACTACAGTTTCGCCTGCTAATGTTGGTGTCAATAATACACACTAATTCTCAACCCAATATAGTTCATATTCTTTATTTCTTGAAATCTATTGACTATGTAGCATTTGCCATTTGTCGAAAATAGCAATGCTTCTAAAATGTTCTTTCAAAGAGGTTAGTAGGGGCAACAGGCATCAAATTGAATTGTTTTTTTCCTTTCTGTCTATACTTTTATATGTTCTACCTGTTTATAAATTGTAATATTTTTACTATGAGACTTGGGTGGCAGCTCTGATTGCCGTCCAACCCCGACCCAGAAATGGAATAGTAAAGAGGATGAAAATGACATGACATGACATATTTTAACTAACTTGCTTTGTCTACACCTTGTCTTGTGACTACAGTAGGAAGCTAGCAGTATAGTACTGCCATATGTACAGGAATGTTGATTTATGTGTACTGTCCTTATTCAAGTAAACAGTTAAAACAAGACAATAAAGTACTGCTTTACAATACTACAATACAAAAAACACCTAACTTCTGTGAAAACATAAGAAATCTTTAAAGGCTTTTCTTTATTAAACACTCAAATTCCTTATAACTCAAAACAGGACGTGGCAAAAAGGACATCCTCCTAGATTAGCCGTTCTATTACGGAATCAGACCACAGCCCTATCGGACCTAAATGGATTGTTGACGGTGCTCACGTGCGGTTGCTAAGTGTACAGACATTCCTATGGGAAGTCCCACACAATAGGTCGGCAGTGCTAAATCTCCTCTGCTTGGAGACAGCTATTGAGATATTTTCCTGGTGAGACAGATTCATGGCCTGAAGTATTTCACAGCTCTTACGGGTGATAGGATAAAGAAGGCCCCTGTTTGGAAGCATTAGGTCGTCCCACAGAGCTACCATGTGGTCATAATTACTTATAACATAATTTGTTATAATTACATTACACATAATTCAATTACTGGGTTTAAAGATACAGGTAAAACTCGGAAAATTAGAATATTGTTCAACAGTTCATTTGTTATTGTAATTCAACTTAATAAAACTCATTAAATGCAAAGTGACATATGCCAAGTCTTTGTTTAATATAATTGTGATAATTATGGCTTACAGTCTTACAGTCAGCCTGTCATGTATTATTTTACCTTTGTAAGTTGAGTCACAGAAGTAAATGGAGGTTTTAAAGATTTCCTAATTTTCCAAGTTTATTCTGTAAGAATAAATTCAACATAATCAAATTAATACTTCTTAAATACTTCTATAGCTGCCCTGCCCTGGACATGCTCATATGCTGCACACATGTGTCATGTCATGCTCCAAGTTGTGACAGAAATTTGATCAGCTGTTTATTTTCTCTGTCCCTGGTCTAAGTGCTTCAAGTGTTGGGACTGAGAATGTTTAGTTTACAAGTGTGGCGCTGACATGTTTGTGCGCCGCTTCATGGCCGCAGGAGGAAGGAGGATCCCTGACAGGTACTTAGAGCATGGGTCGCCGTCGCTTCTCAAGAGAAAAAAAATAGATCCATAACAGAAAGAAGGATTAATCGGAAAATTAACTTCAAATATGATGCAGTCCTGTGCAGTGGGTGGGAGGTGTTGTCCATGATGAAGGTGACTTTGGCTAGCACCCTCCTGTCCCTCACCTCCTTCACAGAGTTCAGAGAGCAGCCCAGAGCGGAGCTGGCCCTCCTGACCAGCTTGTTCAGTCTACTCCTGTCCCGCTGTGTGCTGCGGCCCAGCACACGGCAGCGTAGTGCATGGCAGAAGCTACCACAGAGTCATAAAAGGTCCTGAGCAGAGTCCTACTCACTCTGAAGGACCGCGTCCCCCTCAGAAGGTGGAGGCAACTTTTGCCCTTCGTTGGTGTTATGGGATCAGTCCAGTTTATTATTAATGTGAACACCCAGGTACTTGAAGCTGTCCACCAGCTCAATGTCCTAACCCTGGGTGTTCAGCAGCATATGGGAAAGTGGTTTTCTTCTGAAGTCGATTACCATCTCCTTGGTCTTACTGGTATTCAAGCACAAATGGTTGTGCTCACACCAGTCAAAAAAGTCCATGATAACCGACCGGTATTCCAATTAATTTTGCTCAGAGACACAGCCCACAATGGCGGAGTCGTCTGAGAACTTCTGCAGGTGCCAGCTGTGTATGTCATATGTGAAGTCCGAAGTGTAGATGGTGAAGAGAGACGGTGAGAGGACAGTGCCCTAAGGTGTCCCAGTACTGCAGACTACCACCTCAGACTCACAGCTGCACGGCCGCACATACCGTGGTTGGTCCGAGAGGTAGTCGATGGTCCACACAGTGAAGTAGTATATTGATAAGAATATTGCATTGATCCTTTGAATGCTATAAACAACCTACAGACACATTTTAATGGATAGTGTTCATTCTTGCGTGATTTTGTATGTTGAAATCCCTGGTGTGAGATTTCCCAAGCTTATACTCATGGCCCATTTATAGATTCAGTATATTATAAATTTGTCAATACATTTTGAGAGATTTTTTCTTAATACCATTAGGACAAAATCCTTGGCGAGACGCGGACAGGAGTAGAGTATAAATTACTTGATGGTGGAAAGCAACATGTTTCTATGAATTTTTGAGCACGGGGTTATGCTAGGTGGAGGGCAGGACACTCTATCTGTGGTCACCTCTGCGGGAGTGATGGAATTTCTTTGCGGTCAGTTCCTGGGGATTGAGGGAATTTCAGAAGAGCAAATCAGGCCTAATTTGTATAGTAAATATAGATATATATTTATATATATATATAGATATATATATTGTAAATATAGAACACCTCTGTCTAGATTAAGAGAGTGGTTAGTGGAGGAATGTCGACCGCAATGAGATGTTTTTGTTGGTGTCTAAACATTGAGAGCCAGGTGTGTTTACTTGGAAAAACCCGGATCACAGGTCTCAATGACTACAGACCTGTAGCACTGACGTCTGTAGTTATGAAGACATTTGAGCGCCTCGTCCTCCCCCACCTTAAGTTCTTCACCTCCCCCCTCCTGGACCTCCTGCAGTTCGCGTACAGAGCCAACAGATCTGTAGACGACGCCTTTAACCTGGCCCTCCACTCCATCCTACAGAATCTGGACTCCCCGGGGACCTACGCCAGGGTCCTGTTCGTGGACTTCAGCTCTGCCTTCAACACCATCCTGCCATCCCTGCTCCAGGACAAGCTCTCCCAGCTCAATGTGCCCAATTCCACCTGCAGGTGGGTCACTGACTTCCTGACGGACAGGAAGCACCGAGTGCGTCTGGGGAAGAATGTCTCGGACTCTCGGATTATAAATACAGGATCCCCACAGGGCTGTGTTCTTTCTCCCCTGCTCTTCTCCCTGTACACCAACCACTGCACCTCCAGCCACGACTCTGTGAAGCTCTTCAAGTTCGCGGACGACACCACCCTCATCGGACTCATCTCCAACAACGATGAGTCCGCCTACAGGACGGAGGTGGACCGGCTGGTGTCCTGGTGCAGTGGTAACAACCCGGAGCTGAACGCCCAGAAGACAGTGGAGGTGATTGTGGACTTCAGGAAGAGCACAGTCCCCCCACCCCCGCCCTACCCGATGGACTCCCCCATCACTTCTGTAGAGTCCTTTCGTTTTCTTACTGTCCATCATAAAGTCACTTTACTGCTGTCGCCTTATTGCACTGCCTACTGTGCATATTGTGTGTACCATGTGCACTTGCATATTGTACATAGTAACTGTAATTATCATATTTTAAATTGTATTCCTTTGAAGTGTATGCTGATTTATTATGCCTTACTCTATTCTCTTTTTTCTGACTGTTGCACTGAGCCAAAGCAATTTCCAAGTCTGTGACTTCCTGTTACTTACGTGGCAATAAAAATCATTCTGATTCTGATTCTGATTCTGATGGAACGTGCACGCGCTGACCCCACCTGTCCAATAACTATTGTGTGGTTTATGTTTATGTTCCAGGCGATCTGTCCCCAGTGCAGATGTCCCCTGTCCCTCAATCCCAGTTCATCCCTCTGGCTGAGGTTCTGTGCTCCGTCATCTCCGACATGAACGCCAACGAAATCACTGTGAACCAAGACGCTCTAATCAATTATATGAGCAAGACCTATCCAGGTAATAATTCTCCCATGTATTATTGATTATGTATCAATAAATCAAAATGTGTATTTCAAAACCTGTACAACACTGTATTTTACAGACTATAATTTTGAAAATCCAAACCCCTCTCACCCACTCAACACAAACAATTTGAAACCAAAAAGAATACAAAATCACTACAGCAGAGCCATAACACAATTCCTTACCATATGGTACAGTACACTAGTTTTTTCGGGTGACATTCATTTAGTTCAAAAATCCATTTACTTCTGTGATTCAACTTAAAGAAGTGATACCCAATTTTTTCAAAAAAATTCTTATTACTAGATACAAGTTGTATCATAATCCGTAATTTAATTGAAAACTTGAGCTCATTGATTTAGCTTGTGTATGAATTCAGGCTGTGAAAAGTGCTGAGTAGAGACTTAGCGTGACGCCTGCTCTCCTCCACTCACAGAACGAGGAGCGGCGCTATACGAGCAGGCTGCGTCCTCTAGCCCAGTGGTTACCAAAGTGGGGGGTCGCTGAAACCCCTCGGGGGGTCGCAAGATGATTTTCAATAAAAATAAAAATGGAACAAATAATATCGCCCATAAATATCTATTTTGCATTTGATTTGATTCAAAAGGACTACATGTTAAATTGTGTTTGGAGCAGTCTGAAAAAAAAAAAATCTTTTAATTACGTTTGTAATTTTGTCCCAGTCATTGACAGCGTCAATCAAAATCAAGTTACGTGTGTCCTGCTGTGGTTTGCTAAAGCAAAGGTGTTTGGAGGCTACAAACAAATAATACCTGCTTTGAAATGAAATGTGGTTAATATCCACAACAGAAAAACACGGAAGGGGAGAAAAGTCATATGTGCCAGAGGTCAGGCTGACGGTGCGAAGACTGGGGAGGGAGAGAGGGCAGCGGAGAACACAATTCAGGCAAAGTGAGATATATCAAAGAGGTTCGGAGTCAGTGGTAAAGAGGTCCGCAAATTAACAAACGGGTGGCAGCTTTATGCTGCTACTTACGGTAACGTTGGAAAGAGAAGCCGCTGGGATGAACCGCCACAATGCACTTTTTACCAGCATAAAGCAGCCACCCGCTTTTAAGGTGTGGACCTCTTTACCGCTGACTCCGAAAAGCCGGGTCCCTTTACTGCGCTGTAACCTCTACAGCGCTGCCAAACACAGTAGCATGTTAGGAGAATTGGCTATAACTCCTCTTGCTGTAACTACATACACAGCTAAACAGTCCAAACGACAAAACAGTGAGGAATAGAAGAGGGAACTAAAGCAAAAGAAATGATCAAAAAAGAAATCAAGTCCAGGTGAACATAGCTAGCTTAGATTGTATCCTCTGGAGAGACTGCGGGGCCGCCTCGGACTACATTCGAACGCGAAACTAGCGGAAATCTTTCAGTTATATATTTTGTTAGCAGTGGTGGACCATTTCATCAGTGATTATTGTACAGCTTACAAGAAGTTGCGCTAATGCTAATGAAATAAACCTAGAGGGCTCTGTGGGATGAGAGCGTAGGGGAAATGAAAAGCCTGTGAGCGAGATGAGGGGCGGTGCTAAACATTCAAACCTTGCAGAAACGGGTATAGCTCCTTTAAAATGTGAGGGACTTAATTCAGGCAAAGTGAGATATATCAAGCATAAAATTATAAAATGTATATATAAAGTTTTACTTTTTTAACATTATAATAAACATAGGCTTGGCATGTCACTGCATGTAATGAGTTTATATAATTAACTGGTTAATTTTATATGGAAGCCCGTTTCCGCCATGTAAAAAAAAAAGCCTACAGAAAGTCAAAATTACGACTTCAAAACTCAACATTTCGACTTTAAAAGTCAAAATTACGAGTTTTCAACTGCGCATGTTGTCTGGAACGGTCTCTGGTCATCCCTATTATAGATCCATGACCATGGGTCATCCTCTACCTGCAGATTATGTGAAGATTTTGCCTACAGACAGTGACCACATCCATGAAGTAGCAGCAATAATGTTGTGGTAGTAATCGCGTTAAAATGCAAACGTCTCTCCGTTTATGATTAGAATCCGCTTCTGAAGCCTCTATTTAATTTATCCTAAACGGACTGTGGAAGATTAATAATAAAACACATGCGGCTGTTTAAAGTCATTGAGCATCAACTGGTGACATTTGGTCAGTATCACGGCTATCGATGGATGCACCAGAAATTCAGTGAATGATATTGTGACTGACAGAGAGACCGTTCGCGATTACAGGACAGTGAGGGAGGTCCGCAGACAGAGGCAGGAGAACCACAGACAGAGGCAGGAGAACCACAGTCACGGGCACTGACATTAATACCCTTTTGGAATTGCGATCAGTGCATTGAAGAATATGTGACGTGGTTGCGTGCACGCGCGGGTGAGCTGATGGAGCGAGCGTGCGGGTAAAGTTGTTGGCGTATGAGCAAGAACACAGAGACATATAGGGAATAAGTACCTTGTCTGATTATTTTATTGTGACAAAATAAAGCCCACGACTCTTTTAGCAACAATCCGGAGAAATAACTCCGCAGATAACAGTGAGGGTCTTTGAAAAGGGAGTTAAACCCATTATAGATGCATGAATAAAACCCCGTACTCAACACGTAGAAAGCGCATCATTTCAGCCGTGGAAATACTCGCTCCGTGTGGACCCCTCTCAGCGCCATCGTCTGGTCAGAGTGGTCTATAGCAGATTGGATTGGAATGTCTCGATGGCTCATTTTCCTTTGATTTATTATAAAAACATATTGCTCACATTATTTGTTACTATGTCGAAATAAGAAGTCGTTTGATTTAAATGTTGCATATATGTAAATTGAATTTAAAGGCACACCGTGTAACTCTTGGCCACTAGGGGCGCTAGACCTGCAACTTTCACGTTTAGCGCCCCTAGTGGCCACAAGCAACTCAGCACTGTCGCAAAAGTCAACAAACAGTCAGCCGGTGTCTTTTGAGTGTGTATTCAGACAGCATGCACTGGTGTGTGTGTTCAAACTGTAGAGACATGCCTACAGATATTGAGAGACTCTGCTGTGGTCAGCCTCCAGACCGCTGCATTAGTAATCTACCACACATGGACTTCTATATCCTGGATGAGGGAGTTCTGCGTCTAGCTCGTGCTGCGTGGAATGACATCTTTGCAGTCGATGACATCCAGGAACCAGGTGAAGAGCAGCGCTCATACAGACATGCAGCTTACAGCACGATCCCTTTCGCGTTTCCTCTTTTTAGCCTCCTCCGAAGGTTTAAAATTTTTCCTTGCCTCAGCCATGACCAGGAGTCGAGCAGGTGAAAAATGAGTAGCAAAAGCCTTAGCTCCATGAGTATATCAGCGCCTGTAGCCGTAAAGCAAGTCTTTCTTCCAAGTCACGTGACCTGGTGGCAGACGGTCCGTCTGCTCGAAACTTACATGGGCGGTATTTCAAGAGGGCAGCCCCGCTCGGAGCATTGCAAGTGTCAAGCGCTGTATATTGGCCCAAGTATTCATATAAAATAACTCATATGTGTCAACTCTTTAGGTCACAAAGTCCGCGGTGTGCCTTTAACATAAATAAATAAAAAGACAGCTCCCCCTGCGTCCTACGACCGCGGTCTGGGGCTTAAACAGGAAAGTTTTACAGAATCAATCAAACAACATTATTTCTGGCTACTTCAAGGATGCAGTGGTCACTGTAGGCAATATCTTCACATAATCTGCAGGTGAAGGATGTCCAGAGACCGTTCCAGACAACAACACATACGAGTTTTCAACTACACATGCGCAGTTGAAAACTCTTAATTTTGACTTTTAAAGTCGAAATTTTGACTTTTGAAAGTCGTAATTTTGAGTTTTAAACTCAAAATTTTGACTTTCTGTATGCATTTTTTTTTTTTTTACATGGCGGAAACGGGCTTCCATAATTTTAAGTTGAATTACAGAAATAAACTAACTTTTGAGCAATATTCTAATGATCTGAGATTCACCTGTATTATGCCTTATATTACAAATAGCCATTCACAAGTACATCAATGAACAGAAAAAGGAGCTGATTACTACAACAGAGCATAGGGATCACCCATGAGATTAAAGTCAAAATATTTTGACTTTAAAGTCAAAATGTTATGAGAATAAAGTCAAAATATTATGAGATTCATCTCAAAATATTACAAGAATAAACTCAAAATATTGTTTTCACATTAATGTTAGAGTTAAATCCTTGTGTCATGTGTAAAATGCACAAAGCGCTTCCCTGTTCAGAGTTTGTAGAACCTCTCAATGGATTTACTCTTTTCATTTACACACACTATTGGCTTTCAACGTTAAATACAAACGATTTAATCAATTCCGCAAACAGGTCTGCGCACGTACCAGCGTGAGCTGCGTGGGGAAAGTTGTCATATAAATCTGCGTTCCTTCACCTACGTCTGAGACACTATAGAGCGCATACCCATAAAGTTTATAACAAATAACACCTTAAATTTGGTCATAAGTTCAAAAGAGCACTCAAAGACCACTCACCAGGATGAAGGAGAAACTGCAATTCTGCCGCAATAACATTTTAGCTGTAAATTGTTCAATATAGCAAGTTAGTTTTGCTGTTTATTTTCACACACAAGCTTGTCAATGGACCGCTATATGAAAGTTTGTAGACCTCCGAATAAGTGCTATAAAATAATACAGCCATGGCTAAGTGGGCGCCGCCATGGTGAATGAGATGACATGCAAGGAGAGGGGAAACAAAAGCAAGGAGTCGGGGGCAAGCATACGAGCACAGCACAGCAAAGAGAAGGGAAACAGGCAAAACAGAGAAAGTTAAATATAAACATATCAATATATATGATATGTCAAAATTCATATCTAGTTTTAAAAATATCTCAATGTTTACAATATATTGAGATATTTTTCCCACCCCTATCATGACCCAACATCTAATTTAATGTCAGATAAAATACACTAATAATTTTAATGTATTGCATTTGTTCCATTGCAGGAATCACCATCCCGACACAAGACATCCTCTATAATGCTTTGGGAAATCTGATAAAGGAGCGCAAGATTTACCACACTGGAGAGGGGTATTTTATTGTTACCCCACAAACCTACTTCATCACCAACAACATGGTCCGGGAGAAAAATTGGTGGCCGTCTGGCTCTGCCGATGACCATCCCTCACCTCTGAACATAACTTATCTTCTAGGCAACAACGTCTGCATGGAAACTCCCCACATACCTCCACTGGTGCATTGCAAGTCATGCAGCTGCTTTAGCCCCGTCCCAGTGGTCAATAATATGGTCTCTACACCTATATCTGGAAACCTCCCTTCTTCCACAGTCCCAGAACAGCATTCCATAACAGTATCAGTGAGCGAATGCACAGCTAAGAGCTTAAAATGGCCACGTCCTCTGGATCTAAAACCCGCTGTTCAACACCAGTCCACTTCCACTACAGCAGATTGTCAAGGAAGCGAGGCCAGCAAAACTACAGCCACTACAAACGCCACTGGTCGCAAAGAGAAAGACGGCAAACCGGCAAGGAAATTTGGACTAAGTTTGTTCAGGAGGAACGTAAACAAAAAGGACAAACCAAAGAAAGATTATGTGACGTTTTCGGGGCAGTTTCCACCAAAGGAGTGGCCGGTGCGGGATGAAGATGACCTCAACAATCTGCCTCGCGATCTAGAGCATGCCATAATTAAAAGGATTAACCCTGAACTCACTGTGGACAATCTGACCCGTCACACTGTCCTGATGAAGAAGTTAGAGGAGAGACGGGAGAGGGGATTAGAACACGGTGTGGAAAGGGCTCTTGACAAAGATGATACATTTGTTGACAAGGGAATGTCAACTGAGATGTTGTCAGTCTCCAAGCCAAGGCATCATCATTCAGCCAAGGCATCTGGAGGGAGACGTTCTCTCCCCAAAGCTACTCGCAGCAGGAGAAGGACACATTCTTCAAGAGAAAAAAGGGAAAAGGTCAGAAATAAGGTGGCCATATGTGCAGATGACCTGCCAGAGGAGGAAGATTTGATTCCAACTCGTCTCAGAGAAGAAATACAAATTAATCAATCAGATCAGATGGAAGAGGGAGAGGCTATTGATGGGAAATCTCTTTATAAGAAACGCATTGACAATCCTTTCCAAGTGGGGTCAAACAATGACTCTTTGCAGGTGGAAATAGCCCCCACCACAGGCAGGGAGCATAGGAGGCGAGAGGGCACAGATGGAAAGACTTCTGGACAGGTGAGGAAAGAACGATTAAGCTACAGGTCCAAATCTTGGGACCCACATCGAGCAAAGACAGCCTTTGCAGATGTGGAGCAAACTGTGCTGAGGACATCTGAGGAAAGATATGAATGTCTGCAAGGCAAAATTCTTCAATTGGACACAAAACCAATCAAGGAGCTGGCACTGGACCCTCAGAGCATCACCCTTAGAATAGAGGACATGGTCTGTCACCAGAAGGAATCAAGGGAGATTATTGAAAATAATTATAAAGAAATGCTAACCCAAAATGTCAACATTTCCAGAAGTTCAAAATCACAGGATTGTGAACCTTGGAAGACTGGAAATCTAGGTTCTCAAGTTCCACCTTGTGAGACATCTTTAAGTTCAGAGAAAACGGAACAAAATGCTAGTACAATATTAGAGTACAAGGAGGTCATGGATGTGGAAAAGCTAGAGTCAATTGATGATTGTAATGTCATGGCTACAGATACTAGCAGCTTTTTTGAAGATGACTTGCGGCTATATGAAAAGGCAGATGATAAGGATGAAGAAGATGCTTGCAGTTCGTTGTGTCTTCAAGATGAAGAGGTAACTGTAAAGTTGTACCAGCCATCTGTATTTCACTACATTAGCACACCACTAGAAAATAATCACAAATTGGTCTCAAGATATCAGGGCTCTCACAACCGCTACTTAAATTATTACATTAAACATGCACCTTTTGATAAAGAAGAAATAGAAAATACATATAAGGATATTCCTGAATCAGAGGAGACAATGTGGAGTTCTAGCAATCATCGACCATTAACTATAGCACATCGCCGTGACCCAAGTCGAAGGCACAGCGAGAGACTGGGAAAAGATGAACACAGTGAAGCAAGCTTCAATCTGGACTTCCCGGACGCTCAAGAGGTTGCAGACTGTAGTATCTTTGACTACTGCCAGACCAGTGAGGTGGAGTCCGATTCAGAGACCGTTCGCAAGTCTACCGATGAGGGTGACAGTGAATGTGCTCAATGGACCATGGATATGGAAGGACAAAAGGATCACTTTGAGACTCTTACTGAAAGAAAACAACTTTCCACTCACAAAAGTGAGCTGAGTATCCGAAGTGGAGCCATTGCAGAGGTTTGTGAACCAGTGGAAATGATCGAGAACCAGAGCATGACAGGAGACAGTGGGATTGACTCGCCTCGGTGAGTGTTTGCAAGCCAGACAGAGCTTGGATAATGTCCCTGGGATAGAAACATAAAAGGGACCATGTGTAACATTTTTACTTTATAGATAATATGTCACATTTCTGAACTACAGTTTAAAGTAGTTATTTGTTAAAATTACAATGGAAAGGATACCAATAATGTTTATGTTTACAACTTTCAAGCAGATTATCCGATCAGAGTAGAAAAAGTCTCAATTGTGTTTTTTACCACACATCTTTGAATAAAAACAGGTACAAAAATAAGCAGTTAAATTTCATACATCGAGTTTGTATTGTTAGATTAACAGTCTGTATTGTAGATTAACCCCAGCAGGTGGGTTGCAATTAGTAATCAATGCTTAGGAGCTACATATGATTAGAGTTAGATTCTGGAAACTGAAGTTGAATTGTAATTACTTAAACAGTGAGCTGAGAAATACAGTTGATGTTAGAAGTCTATTGAAATTCCATTCCACAAAGGATGTTAGTGAAAGGAGTTCTCCATGGCAACTGTAAACATGGATGTTATCTATGAGTGGAAGACAATAAAATGCCCAACATAAATATAAATGTATATATAATATGATTACCCAATCATATTAGCTAAAAAATAACACAAAATATAATTACATTTTCCAAATTCCCTATTACTATTACTACACGCTTCAGGCTCATACTTTTCACACCTTCGGATTTTCTTTATTCACCTTCACCTGTCCAGACTATAAAAAGCAAGACTGTATAGGCTTAGAGACAGGTAAAATAAGCATGGTATGAGTAAGGTAGTTAAACCCTGGGTTACATATTTGGAATTGGCATAGCTCCAAATAATGTTATTTAACACTAAAGTGCAGTAAAGCTGAACACACACCAGAATAAGCGACCTATTCAAGACTGTATTTAGATTGAAGGAATCCTTTTCATAACTATGTATACTTACTCAGCACTTATTGTCTTATAGTGAAGTACTAGATGCGGTAGAATTCCCTGTATTAATAATATAATTACATTATAGTAGCTCAGTTGGTAGAGCAATGGCCTTTGAGCCTGAAGGTCGTGGGTTCGAGCCCACCGTAAGACCTACTTCATGACTCCCACTGATGACTGCTGTCGTTGTGTCCTTGGGCAAGACACTTAACCCCACTTTGCTTGAAGCTCCCACTGAAAGATCTCAGCTCCTGTGGACTCACCACCTGCAGGAGGATCAGTGAGGGGCTGCTGCTATGTGTACTGGGTGGCATCTCTGGCCACCCCCCCGACCCAGAAATGGATTAAGGGGAAGAAAATGGATGGATGGATGGATGGATAATAATGTAATTCACTGTATTAACCTTAGTGGCCTGTCTTTTCCCACACAGAACTCGAGTCAGTCTGGCTTCAAACAACAAAGGGATTCTGGAGGGTCTGAACCGAAGAGGATTTCTACAAAACTTAGAGAAACTTCACATCAAAAGCACCAGCATCCACCCACAGAACTCACTCCTGCAGTTAACGCCAGTTATGAATGTATAGCAAATGTCTTGATACTCCAATTATATTTCTATAATCTTTCTATTTATATTTTGTAAACCAATTTTTTGTCAGGAAATACTAATATTTTCTTATCATTGGACTACGTGTTTGCTGTTACATAGACATCCTGTTATTTAAGCTTATGTTATGGTGAACTAATAAAGTGTTTTGACCACCAAATGCATTCTTCCATACTGCAATATAACTTTTCACTTAACGCATAGTATTTCAATGATTCATTTTAACAGCTTTTACAGAACACCTCCATAAAATAGATCAAAATGTTTTCAACATAAGAACATGGATCCATTATGAAGCTTGTTTGGCTGTTTTGTTAAACACAGCTAAACACTGACACCTGTTGGACGATTTGGGTTATGACAGGATTAGAAAATAGTGGTATCCTAAAATGGTACTGAAACATGCTTCTAAAGGTCTTGGTTAGGGTTCAAGAGTGTGGTGAGTTTGCCTATGTAATTAATGCAGAAGGACAAATTGGTTGAAATGCACCTGCATGGTTTTTTCCATGACTTCGGTTCATAAGTTTACTTCATCTTCAAATTAGTAGTATTAGTAGTAATATTGTAGTTTAACATGACAGACCATGAAGTCACTGTGGTAGCCCATTATAGTAGTGGACAGTAAACATGATCCAACGTTGAGTCAACAACCTTTATTTATCCATAAATGTGCCACTCAAGAAACGGGAAAGGTGTTACAGGATTGCCCTTTAGAGAAGCTTCTATGAATCAATTACAAATTTCCTTTACTACAATGCGACCATCGACAAAGATGGTGGGAAAATAAAGACAAAATGGTAGTAACAGTGTAAAACATGGTATACATAAAATCAATGTAATTGAGGAAATTAAAGGTGGAGCAGTTAGTATGAATATGAACTGAAGCCAAACCTGCTTTCCTCATAGCTCATTACTACATAGCATGCATTAAGGCACCTATCTAACACAAGGAAAAACCTATGCTAAACAAATGTTATTCAAATTAAAAAGGAAAACTAAAATATTGCTCACCATAAAGTTCACTCCTGTAAAAACTGTCTCTCGATCCCTTTCATATAACCCAATCCATATCTAAAAAAATACGTTATGTAAAAGATTTACACAGAACAGTGAGTGCAATCCATTTGGAATTTGCAGAATTCGTTCAAGTCCTGGAAAATTTGAATTATACACAATATTTTCAACCAAATTCACTTTGAAGATCCACATTTGTTATCTATATTCTGTACATATTTGTCTCCAAAAGCTGTTATGTACACTTATGTACTCAAAACAAATGACGGGACACAGGTCTTGGGATATAATGCTACCCAATACGTTTATTTTCTATTATGCATCATCTTGTGACTAACTGACAAGATAATAGAATAGAACAAGGGGTCAGTGTTGATCTGTACAATCTGCAGCATTTTCGTTTTAGATATACAACAATCAAATTTCAAATATACAGAGTGGCTCTTTTTAATGGACCATTAAGCTGCATGTTACATCTGACATTTAAATCTCCAATGCTCAAATTGTCAAAAAAAAGAAAAAGTGGAGACTATGTGGATCTTACAATCAAAAATGTAATCTTTTTAAACAGCACACTTATCTTTACATAATATATATATAAAAGAAAATGTATATATACACACACTACATTTTTTCTGCTTCATATGTGATTTGAAAAAGAAAACAATAGTCCTTGTTCACCAATTATGATGGTATTCTTAGTTTAGAGTTGCAGCAGAAAAGCACATGTGCCTAAAAGTACACTAATCATTTCAAACCAGCAGGTGAAGCATATGATCAACAAATTACTCAAATTTTCAAATTACGTTTTAAAAATGTGTTCAATAGTCCAGGAGAGAATGAAGCGCAATAGTCCTTCAAACTACATCTTCATTTTGAAGCAAGTTTTAAACATGTCTTTGTAAGAATTGGCCTGACAAGACTCAGATCATGTGAGTATTGTGAAGACATGTGCGCTTACACTAGACAAATATGATAAGATGCTCATTGGTCTACGTGGATCCTATGGTGTCGAGAGAGAGACGAAGAATGGTTAAAGCCTTTTCCACACTGGGTGCACCTGTATGGTTTTTCCCCACCCATCATGCGTTGCTTTGGGCTGTAGGCATTGTTGGGGTACCCCTTTGGTACAGGGATGGGGCTGTACTGTTCTGGTTGTGGCTGTGATGGTGGTGGTGACTGCTGCTGCTTATTTTCCAAGTGCACTCTCTGATGGCGTGCAAGGGAAGAGGAGTGATTGAACCTCTTGCCACAGTGGCCACAGGTGTAGCTCTTGCCCTCAGAGTGGACTCTTTGGTGCCGAGATAGTGACGAGGAATGGTTGAAACCTTTGTCACAGTGGTGGCACATGTAGGGCTTCTCTCCCTGCTGGTGAACTCTCTTGTTGGGAGAGTATGAGAATGGCTTTCCTGGTGAGACGTTTTGCATCACTGGCATTATCGGCATAACCGGCATGGTAGGGTTTTGCAGATGGGTCTTGTGGTGCCGAGACAAAGATGAAGAGTGGTTGAAGCCCTTGTTGCAGTGTCGGCAGGTGTAGGGCTTTCCTCCAGCGTGGACCTGCTGATGCTTCTTGAGATGACGTTTGCGAACAAAACTCTTCCGGCACATATTGCATTTATACTTTTCTCCCGAGTGGATCCTCTGGTGCTCCTTCAGAGTGGCTGCAGCAGCAAAGCACTTGCCACATTGTGCACAGCGATGAGGCTTATCCCCAAGGCCCACGGTAGTGTGAGTCTTTTGGTGTTGTTTCAGGTTAGACGTTGTAGCAAATCCTTTGCCACACTGGCCACACGTGTATGGCTTCTCACGAGCATGGACTTCTTGATGCTTTTTCAGATGCCTTCTTCGGACAAAGCTCTTTCTACATTGTGTGCACTTATACGGCTTGTCTTCAGAGTGCATCTTCATATGTTCTCTTAGAGTGATGGCAGCAGCAAAGCTCTTCCCGCACTCTGTGCATCTATGGGGCTTATCGGGTAAATGGATCATCTGATGAGACTTTAGGCTGAAAGTATCAATAACATCTTTGCCCATTATGTCAACACCATATGGCTTTTCTTTCATATGGATCTTCATGTGCTGTTTAAGACTGGCTTCTACAGCAAAGCTCTCACCACAATGTACACATATATAGGGGTTGAGGTCTTTGTGAATCTCAAAATGTTGGTGAAGGTCAGATATGCTTCCAAAAATCTCTCCACATTCATTACACTGCAGACCATGAGCCTCATGTATGATAACACCATTCTCAGACTCCACAGTCAGCTCTCCACCATGATCAGACTCCATTTTGACCACATGCTCACCATCTGCTTTAAGTAGCACCTCTCCTAGCAGGTGTTCACCCCCAGATGTTTTAATCTCTGCTCCAGTAAAACAGTGCATATCAGCATGTTCAACTTTGATGTAGTCATGGTCCGATTCTGCTACAATGGCATCCACACAGGTTACAGCACCCAACTCTGTACTGATTCCATGGATCTTCAACTCGCCTCCATGTATCTCCAGCTCGAGACCACGCTTCTCTTCAGTCATAATTTCTGTCTCTGCCCCATAGTGTAGGTCGACGTGGCTGTGGGCAATGACACACTCCGACCCAAGTGTGTCTAAGCCTGGCGTGTCACATTCAGTCTCTGACTCTGCCATAAGCACACACTCCAGCCCTACGACCTCCGTTTTTTGGCCGGACAATAACCAATTAAGAAAACTGGGGGATATCAAAGCAGTTTTTCAGCACCAACGTGTTCCAGTTTCAAGTCTCCAGACCTGAAAAACAAGGGGGAAAAAGGTCATGCGTTGCCCAGATAGTAACGTATATCCTTCTGGTTCTAAGAGAGACACATAAAAATTAATTAATTAAATCTGTACTAAGGGATATACTTTCAGTTCTGTATTATTCAGCCTTTTAAGTTTACACATTTTAAATACAATAAAACTACATAACTTTGTTTCTTCGTTTACCCCAGGGCATGCACATAACATGAATGCATGCGGACAAAGTGAAAGAAAACAATTAGTTATAATTGCATATATCATAGCGATGAGATACATAAACCTATTGCTGAGCTAAAACGACATAGCTGCTAGGGGATACATTTGCTAGCCATGCTAGCAAAAAGGAGCATAATTTCACCTGCTAACAAAGTCCATCTGAAATCCACTATAAATGGCCTTAATCCGAAAACGCATGGCCCAGCCCCAGTGGCCTACAGAAGGCGCTTATCTGCGCAGATGGCTTTGATTCAACAATGTTTTTCTTTAGACGACGCAATCATATAGATAACATAAAAACGTCCAATTAAAGACTGTACTGATGCTTGTTAGCCTTCCATAAAGCTACAAATAGCTTCCATAGCAGCTAGTTAGCTGGCTTTGGCAAATGGAGACTGGTTACCGACAAAACAGCATTGTGTTAGCGGCTATACGCGCTAATGTGTTCGTTATCTAGCCCGCTAACTAGCTTCGTAGCAAAACATACCACAGATGAACTCTGTTTCCAAATAGAAGTGATGGGATTCACGAATAGTGTTGTGCCAGTTAAGAGTTATAATAAAACAACCAATATGTAGGTTGCCGACGAGGAACCGCGAGTGTATTAATAGGCCATCTTGTAGTGCCACACCAGCACTTCAGCTAACGCAAATGACATGCTCGCACAAGATGGCTGCCAGTAGCTACATTTAGCATGTTAGCTTCCGCCCAACACAGTGAAAGAGAAGCTCCCTGGGGCTAGTAAACTAAAGCAACCGGACAAGGACACCATCAAGATAGAATAAACACTTTTTAGCCAAACAATTAGTCACAACGAACAAGTGGAAGCTTCGGAGACAGGACACTAGGTTTAAATTACCCGTCACACTCTTTATGAACAAAGATGGCTAGTGGAGAGAGCAGGGAGCGCCACGAAAAAAGCCCGGGAAGGAAAATGATGTATCTTAAAAAGGTATCAATACTAAACCTTTAAACGTATATCGGATGATATTAGTGAGACACTAAGCTGTCACAGTACCAACCAAATAAGCATAGCAGAGGACGACTGCAGATCTTGGCTACGGAAAACCCTCAGTGACTGCAGCAGCCTGGCACACAGCGCAAAGAGCAGCCCAATGGCGGCCTTGCTGATGTTAGCAGCACCCAGGCGAGACAAGCGCGCTGGCTACGTAGCGTAGCCATGATCCAAAGCTAACAAGCCTGCTAATGTTGTGGGTTAGCAGTGGGGCTACTGAGGTGTATACATCCCGATTGAAACTCAGATGGTCAAAACAAGCGAAAACCGTGGTCTGGCGCCAATAGTACTAATACACTTTTCAAGTCCTCAAATACTCTTATTTTGCGTGGGACGGATTAGTGCATTGCATGTACTCTGCTTAAAAAACAGCAAACCTAGAACATTATTTCCCCCCTCATATTTTAAACATTAAACTATGTTAATATGACATGTACCTGCTAGAATTTTCGTGTGCCACGACTTGTACAAAGCACGCAGACCTTTGAGTATGAGTTGTTAGCAGGAATACTCCATTTGAAATACAATATTTACCTCAATTGCCGTACGTAATAACCCACATTTAGATTATTGACAGTAGACGTACTTAACTATCACTCTAAATGTAAAATGCCAGATGACCCATAGTATACTCACCTCTTCTTAGTCCGTTTATTTCTCTACAGCTGGATCACGAGAAATGTGCAAACTCCGGTTTGAGTCAGCTGTGCAAGCAGAGGAGCAGACAGGCGGGCAACTGGAGCTCGAGCAGAAGCCAAACGGTGTTGATGGTGGGGCTGTTGGGACTGTCGTCCTGTTGTGTCTTTTCTCTCCCCTCTGAGCAGAGCTGGCGCCACTGATCATCTGGCGCCAACGAAGGAGCTACCAATTTACTCCAGCCAACGCAGCCATTCTCTGGGCTAAGTGAGCACAGGCGCCCCCAGCAGGCTTGGAGAAGATCTCCGGAGGAATGCTGACATTAGAACGTTCACCGATGGCGCGCATACCCTGTCAACACTAAGATGTCCATGTCTAAGAAAATTATGAAAAAAGTACACAGAAAGTTTTTTTTTCTTCTTAATAGAGAGATAGATTCAGGAGGAGGAATTCAGGTGTCCAGTAGCTGCAAAAACACATCCATCCACACAAACAAAACAAATTAATTGATCATTCTAAATAGCTACAAATAGTAATAATGAACTATTTTACCATTAACTCATTGACTGCCAGCCATTTTTGATGACCTCACTGATTTTCAACGACTCACAGAATTTTGTGTGCTATGACTATGAAAAACATGAAACCAGACTTTGAAAGACTGGACTGTCTACTTTCAGCAGCAAAAGGAAGTCTGGGTTTAGCTTGTTTCGTTCTCCTGAAATCTCCATTCGCAAAGAGGGGAGTGTGACAAAAAGCACCAGTCTTAGACAAAAAGCTGAGAAAATGAGGTGTTTGTAAAAACAGACAAATCATGCAGAAAAGTGATTGTAACACTATTTAGTTTAACTTTAGCATCTCCTACACATGTCTAGTATCTTACATGTTAGAAAACAGCAACAACAAGTTATGAGAAAGTGTTTTTGATGCAAAATAATACGTTTTATGGCACAGGAATATTTCAAAATGTACTCATCCAAAAAACGTCAAAGTTTACATATTGAAAGAGCCCATGACAAATTAAGTCAGAAAGAATGGCTAGTATTCCTCCATTGGGTGGCGCTATATTTATGTCAATAACTAGTAAATCAGAGATAAGCAAAATTACAATGATAAACAATATAAATGACAATAAATCAAAGTGAACAGACAATATACTTATACTATAAGTGCAATAGAATACTGTTGTGTGTCTTTGTGTGTTTGGGCGCGCATGTATGTGTGTTTATGTCTTATAGATCCATGGTTTATGCGTGTGTTTGTGTGGTGACATCAACAGAGCGTTGTTCTGTTTAGTCCAGCAAGCGCTGTGACCATAACTGGACTTTGGCGCTGAGTCCTGGTGGGGACTCAGTGATAGTATTAGCAATAGTTCACTTTTCTGTGGCTTTTTTTGGGGTGCACTGCTCGCCTGCTGCCCTGACCCTCCACATGGTCTCTGTAAGCTCTGGAGACACATTTACTGCTCAAACTGCCTCCAAATGTAGTCTGACCCTGACTATCCTCCATGTCTGCTTCACCTCTGTCTCTCCTGCTCAGAGTGCTCAGGCAGTGATCTTTGACCAAGACACCCACAGAGTTCTGCTGCCACTTGCTGGCTTAATAAAATACTGTCTACAGCCAAACCCCAGATACAGGGGACACAGACGGACAGGAAAAGATTGAAAAACAATTTTGACGTCAATTGACGTCGTATGACGTAATTGGCAGTTGATAATTGTATACGTGATTTAAAAAAATCTGTATTCAATCATATTTTTACAGTCCAATAAACCTTCCTTAATTTAAAATTATTTAATCAACTTGAATCTTTAAAAAATAAAGTCAAAGGACATCCATCCATCCATCCTCTACCCTTTAATCCATTTCTGGGTCAGGGGGGTGGCAATCAGAGATGCCACCCAAGTCTCATAGCACCAGCCCCTCACTGACCCTCTGCAGGTGGTGAGTCCACAGGAGAACGGCTGCTCTCTGAGTGTGAGCATAGCCTTGATCTTTCAGTGGGGGCTTTGGGTAGAGGTGGGAAGGACGTTGTTTTGTTTGAATTGATTCAACAGAGGGCGCTGTTTCTCCGCTTAAGTATTCTTTCCAACTTCTGTCTCGATTATCTTCTTGCTTTTTATATCTTTGCAATGTTATGGATCTAGTTTGTATGGAACATGTAATCAAGTAAATAAATATTAATTGTTATTACTTATTTACTAGGATTTTTATCTATCTAATGTGTCCACAACAAACATTTGTATTGGAAGTTTCAGCACATCTAGGTCTTAGTCCCACCCCTTTCATTGCCCAAACCTCTAACCAACCAGGAATACAGGTTTTCATTGTGAGAAAACTACATAGCTTACATCCTTCCACACACTATCAGTCACTCAGTTCCACTCCAACCTATTGCTACAGGAGACTCAACTTAGAACTATTAAGTCTACCTTTATTTTTGTCTCCACACATTTTAAACTTGAAATATGTCTTTAGACCTTGACAGATACAGCGTAGACAAACCCCAGCGTTCCACCAGCCGTAGCCAAACTAAAACCCAAACCAGAACCCAAACCAGGACCCAGGCTAGATATGGAGACGTCCTGTGTGATTTCTGCACTACGAGGAAGCAAAAAGCGGAAAAGTCCTGCCTGCTGTGCTTGGCGTCTTACTGCGAGGCTCATCTCCAGTCGCACTACGAGTATCCAGCCCTGATGAAGCACAAGCTGGTCAAAGCCACTGGCCAAATGAGGGAGAAGGTGTGCGCCCAACACGACAAGCTCCTGGAGGCCTTTTGCCGCACGGACGAGACCTCTGTGTGTGTGCTGTGCATGATGGATGAACACAAACACCATGACACTGTGCCAGCTGGGACAGAGAGGACGGAGAAGCAAGTGGGTTTCACTTGTTTTTATTTAGTTTGTTTGAACATATTCTATACTCTATGTATTTTATTTAGATTTATTTTTTTAAAGAAACAACTGGGAGCGACACTGCACCAATCTCAGCAGAGGATTGACCAGAGAGTTAAGAAATGGCAGGATCTCCGACAAGCCATGGAGTCAATGAAAGTAAGTGAAAGTAAAATAATAGGCATAACCTTAGTTTACTAAAACGTAGCTTGGATTATAATATTTAAGGGAAAAAAAGTTCCTTCTTTATGATTTAAATACCTGGATGAACATGAGCAGCAGATATTACATAAGTAAATGTTTAGCAGAGCAACCACAATGTAAACGGGCCAAACCTAGTTTCATTTACACAATGAAACTAGTTGTGGAAAAGTCTTCTAATGATTTTATAAACAAATTAGACCACATCTTCATCTTTTCTTTAGAAACATGTTATTTTTTGTATACTAAAAAACTGATCTAAAGAAAAAAATAAATGCAACTGAAAAGTAGAAGAAAGGTATTATAGTTACAAGGATATTAATAAATGTGGCCAATTTGGGGGTTATGTACACATATTTTATTATTTATTCTGGTTCTGAACTAAAAACTGCTGGTCTGAAACTGGTCTCAAACTCTCACTGTTCGGCAGCACTCAGCTCAAGTGGTCATGGAGGAGAACGAGCGCATCTTCACCGAGCTCCTGCTGTCCGTAGAGAGGAAGTACAACGAGGTGAAGGAGATGATCCGCTCCCACGAGAAGTCTACGGTCACCAAATCCGAGCTCATACTGGGCCGGCTGGAGGAGGAGATCACCCTGCTGAAAAAGAGACACAATGATTTGGAGAAGCTGTCCCACACTGACGACCACATTCACTTTCTGCAGGCATGGAAAAATTACAGCAGCTACTGCAAGATCAAGGTTGTTGTTTGTCTGCTAAAAATATGGCTTTTTTTACAGAGCTGGCAGTCTCTCTCTGGTCCATCTGGATATGAAGACCTCAACAGCATAACTGTCACGCCAAACTACTCCTTTGATGCTACCAAAAGAGCTGTGGCCACGCTGAAATTACAAGTAGAAGAAGTAACCAAACAAGAAATTAGCAAAATCTCTGCAACGGGTAAGTTCTGTGTGCATCATCTACTTACTTTTTTAATGTTATGCCAACTTTACAAACGGATTGTTGTTGTTTCAATAGTCAAAGAAGTCTACATCACAAAAGAGGAAGTCACAGAACCTCAGAGGGAATCACTTTTTAAGGAGGAAACAAGGAGAGAGGAGGTTAGGAGGAAGGATTCAAGGATCATAGACGAGCCAAGAACAAGGGACGACTTTTTACAGTGTAAGTGTGCGTTTTTTCTTTGCTGGTAAATAAAAAGTGCCAGTCATGTGCTATTGTGTCACTTGAATCCTAATTGTATGACAACACCTGCTGGCAGAAACTGACTAAGTGGTACGGTACTTGCAGAACAGGTTTGGCGAGTGAAAACAAGCTTCCAGTACAAGGTTATCACAGCAAACACAGGTGCACTGAGTTTCTCGTAGTTTAAAGCCTAGCGTACATCGACAGAGAAACTGGGGACAACTAGTTGCAAGGCGGCTTTTGGCAACTGAGAGGAGATGATGGGAGATGATCAGTTGGCAAAATCGGTCGATGTGCGCGCTCTTACAACTGGAGATGATCAGTCGGTCTCCAGTTTCAGTCAGTTGCCCGTGTTCTACTTTTCGGCAACTAGTTGTCCTCAGTTGCCCCGATGTGCGCGCTCCATGCGCCGCTCCAACAACGTGTGTGTATTGCGTGTATTGCGAGCCCGCAACAGTTTGTTGTCAGAAAACACACTGTAGTTGAGACCAGTTGCTGTCGATGTACGCGCTGTTATTCAAGAGACTGGCCTGCGACTCAGAGTTGCCCGTTTTCGCCAGATTGTCGATGTGTGCGGGGCAGCAACTCAGAGGCGACGGATATAATCAGTTGCCAGTCCGATGTACGCTAGGCTTAAGTCAAATATACTGTATAAAGCTGGACAGCACAAAATGAATCCCAATAAATGCATATTTTGGCTTTCCTATGGTATGATGGCTGAATATATTGCAAGAGAGTTGGCATGCTCCAATTCCACTACCATTAAAACATGTACAATAGCTCGTCCCTGAAAATTACATTCTAAAATATCAGGGGGACTTTCGTGGTTAAATACAATAATATATAAATAATATATATCATAGTTTTGACACCAATCAAGAGTCAGTCTTGTGACATAAACTAGAAAGAAAATGTTTTTAATGTAAAATATACAAACAGAGCTGATTCGAATGATAAAAGCTATGATAAATACATATATTTTAGATATATTTATTTAGATTTGACAAGCTTTGTTAATGGTTTTTTATTACCAAAGTAGATAAAAGTAGGAACGCTTTTTATAAAATCACGATGTTTCAGGGAGATGTCATATTCACCTAATTAAATCACTTTTGATTACAAAAATAAATAAAACAACTTTAACTTGAACTTTTCTCCAATATTTTGTTGCAATAACTATTTCAAATATTTAGATGCCTGTCAGTTGAGTCTGGATGTGAACACTGTCCACCCCAACTTGCACCTTTCTGAGGGAAACCGATCTGTGACTATGAAGAGTGAGCCCAAGAACTATCCAGACCACCCAGAGCGCTTTGAAAACTGGCAGCAGGTAATGCAGCCCTCATGATGTATTTCTTTTGTACAACATCAACACAAAATCACGGAGCATATTTACTCCCTGATGTTGTCTTTCCAGGTGCTTTGCAGAGAAACTTTGACTGCCTCTCGTTCTTATTGGGAGGTGGATTGGAAGGGGACAGAGATTGACATAGCAGTGACTTACAAGGCGATCAGACGCAAGGGCAATGACAACAATTGCAGTCTGGGCTGGAACAACAAGTCCTGGAGCTTGTACTGCTCGGACTCCAAACTGTCCTTTGTGCACAACAATAAAAGCACGGATCTATCAGCTCCTCGCTCGTCCAGCATTGGGGTCTACCTGGATTACATAGGAGGGACTCTGGCCTTTTATGCGGTGTCTTGGAACAACATGCAGCTTCTCCATAAAGTGCAGACATCTTTCACTGACCCGCTGTATGCTGCTTTCAGCGTGTGGGGCTTTGGTACCACTGTCAAGCTGGCATGAAACTTTCTGTACTAACAATTTCTTTGTTCAGGCTGTGGTATTACATTTATATTGATTTTCAAATAGGCTGCATGTGTATGTCTATATGTTGAGAACTACCTGTAGGGAAGGTATGTCCATTTTCTTTGGCCATCTGTTGCTGGGTCAGGCAGACAACAGTCTGAGCAGGGAAAAGAGATGTATTAGTTACAATATAGTATTATTCTATATTATGGAATTGGAACAAATGATTATACACAAGACAAGTGCAGAAGCACATAGTATATGATTTTCTGTCTTTGTTGTTTATAATGCACTGAAAAAGTATATAATAATAGAAATCATACAACAAATCAAAAAAGTTACATACTATTGTTTTAAATTACCCGCTGTAAAGATAATAGCTTTTTTCTTGATAATTTATACTGGGATGTAACATGTATTAAAGAAGCAAGACAAGCGATTTTCATGATAGGCTGTTACTTACATGGCAATAAAAATGATTCTGATTCTAATATGTCAAGGCATGCCATGGTCTTTTCCTATACTTCGATAACAGTAGTGCAGCCGAGATATTAAAATTTCAAAATTAGATTTACAGCCCCTAAATCTTGTTCTTGTTATTGTTTTCATTTTGATGTCCCGCCCTCCATGTTTTACCAATGAGACAGTCCGTGATCCGGGTTCGCCGGACTCACTGCGTCGAGCTAATCTCACTGGTAAAGTAACATGCGGCTGCAGAACTAAAAACGGTCTCGTTGTAATTCTCAAATCATTATCACCAGAAACTCCAAATCAAATTATCACTCAGCCTGTCAGTCGACTTTAGAAATCCAAGATAGTTCTGGAAAAAGATGAACAATCTACTTGGTAAATCTAATAAAAGCACTACTAATATTAAAATAAACAATGAAATGCTTTCAGTCAACATTTCAGTCAACATTTCCCTCAATCTCCATTGATTGATTGATTGATCCCATCCAGCTTCTTCTGACCACTACACCCAACCCTGCAGCAGTTCTTTTTCATTTACAGAGAGTAGTCCCGCTGATGTCGAAAGGGCCATAGGAGAACTGTCTTTCAACAGCAGTGCTGGTCTAGATGGCATTGAAAGTTAATTTACTAATATAGGCTCTTATGTCTTATCAACTCCCTTAGCTGCACTCTTCAACCTATCTCTTTCTACAAACACTGTCCCTCTCTCCTGGAAATGTGCCAAACGAATTCCACTACATAAATCTGGTGACCCCGAGAATATCAACAACTATTTCAATAATCAATAAAAATATTTTTGATTAGCTTTCTTACTATCTCACTGACAATGATCTTTTATCCCAAAATAAATCTGGCTTCAGAAAACACTTCTCCACAACTACTGCCCTTCTAAAATTCACAATTGACATATTTTCCAGTTTTGACAAAAGTTAATATACAGGTGCATTATTTCTTGATTTGACCAAAGCCTTTGATTTGGTTGATCACTTTTGGACAAACTTCTCAATCTGGGCCGACATTGTTTATCAAAATACAGCCGCCAAATGTCTCCATCCCCTCAATACTGTCTATAACAACCTGTGTAGGTTTGCTCTGCGCTGCCCCTACAGGACACATCACTGTGACATGTTTCACCAACTGTCCTGGTCCTCATGCCTGCACGTCGACACTCCCACTGGTTGTTCTTCATTTTCAAATGTAATTATTTTAATTATCCCACATACCTGTTAGTTCCACTTACAGTATTCGTCACACTGACACTGATACTCTTTTCTTCCACACCCCCCGTGTTAAAAAGGAGATAGGAAAACATGCTTTTCATTACAAAGCCCCGCAACAGACTGGAACCTTCTTCCACCTGCCATTCGCTCCCTCACCACCTTCCCTTTGTTTAAGAACACTACTGTGTTACAGCAATAATTGCTTTTGATGTGTCTTCTGTTGTATTATGTCTCTGTTGTGTTAAGTTGTATTCTTATGTATTTATGTTGTATTTTACTTTACTGTAGTTTTAGGAGGGAATCTCTGAGAGCTGTGAGAGGTGTGTGTGTGAGTGAATGTGTTGAGCTTTTGTCCTGTTTTCTTTTTTGTGTGTTTGTTTAATGTAATAATTTAGTTTTGTGTATAATTGACTGTTGCTGCTGAATTTGATTTTGAGGACCCCCTCGGAAATGAGATGATTCATCTCAAGGGGTTATTCCTCTTAATAATAATAAACGTATATAATATGACAAAACAAGGAATAAAACGAGGATTTAGATAGGGGGCCTTTGTGAAAAAGGTGTTGGTTATAGATGTTGTTGTTGTGGACAAATCTCTTGTCTATTTTATGGTTTTATGCTTTTATGGTTCCAGATGGATTCGTTTGTGTATCTGCAGCCTGAGTCAGAGAAAGTGTAGGACCACTTTGGCCAGATTTGTACATATTGCTCCTTTGGTAAATGTTAAGTTTGATGCTTGTTACTAATGTATGTGTCTCTCTTTTACAATCAATAAAGAGTTATGTCAATATAAGTATTAGTTTGTTATTTGATAGATAAGTAGATAAAGAGAGCTAACGCAGACACATTTTAGATATCTTAGGTTGAGCGCTGCATTTACCACTATTACAATTAGCTGTAGGGGGCAGCAGAATCTCGCTGTCTTACAGTCTATGGTCTCTACACATAGTTTCATTTCAACAACATCGGAATGTTAATTGTTGTTAAAAGATAATGAAACCATATATGTCTTAGATACAGCGCACAAAGACGGAGATACCCGCTAATCTCTCTAGAATTAAAAAGCGATACATAAGAAAGGAAGCGCTTGGTTTATACCCATGCACATATTTAGTCATCACACAGTTTACAGATATACTGCCGTTTTCGATGAATTATTAGCAACATAACACGTTACACTGCTTATTTACAGTTCACAATTTTAACCTTAAAAGCATAAAAACTGACGTATATTTGCAGCAATCTTAAACACCGCCCTTCTCCCCTCGCCGGGCTGTAGCGTGTTTTTTTCCGATAGGGGGTGGAGCTGCATAGCTGGCAGTGAAACTCGCGCTCACATCTTCCCCCCCAGCTGCAGAGAGCGTTTATAGCCTAAGCGCATCCCCCCGAGACCGGACCAAACCTCCAGGTACCATACCTGGACGTCACACTCTCAAAGGGGGAATTTCGTGAGTGGAGGCTCCTATTCGGGCCCAAGCTAAATTCCTGGTGTAAGTTTTGAACGAATAAACTCCGGGAAAGTTGGAAGCACGCGGAGAAAAGGTGAGAAGCGTTTTTTTCCTTTGATGAGTCCGCTATTTAACACATGGGGATTAGCAATAAAACGGATACATAACGTTTGGAAATTAATATTTTTGATATGTTTTTATTTTCTTGTTTACAATTTAGTGGTAAACAATCTGTCTTGACTTAGATTGTTGTGGGTTTATCACAAGTCCACTGTGTGCGCAAGCCACTTAACCCCACTTTGCCTCAAGCGCCCGCTGAAAGATCAGGGCTCCTGTCAATCAGCTACTCTGTCTGCCCCCCTCCCCCCACCCAGAAATTGATTTAAGAGGAAGAGGAAGAGGAAGAGGATTAGAGAATAGAAAAGGTGTATTTATAATAACAAATAAAATATGTGTGAGCAGGCTTTGATCTCTTGAAGTTATATACCTGACTTGTTTTTAACCTGAGCCTCCGCCGTCTGGTTTCCATGGAAATGTTTCCCCTTTTACTATTGCTTTCCACGCTATGGAAAGTATTATAGCACCCATAATCTTTTTTATTGCTAACATATGTTCCATTCTGCCAACAGCTGAAAAAGGGCATATCTGCCCTGTATCCCAGCACCTGTGGCCCTGTCCCTGGAGAGAAATGAATCAGTTGGCGTCTTTGCACATGTCACAGAGTTAAATGTTAGTGCTACCGGAGCGTACAGTGCTGGGCTGGCTGAAGAGGAAAAAGAAGGAAGGGGGGTCTGCTGGAGGAGGCTGGTGTGAAGGGAGAGAGGAGAGGGCCCAAGATGTCTCTGTGGATGATCGTGCCGGTCAGCCTGCCAGTGCTCACCATTACAGGGATATGGGTCGTGTAAGTGTCATAACGTTTACACTACACTATTGTCTGATCAAAAGAGGCCAGTGGTGAATTAGGAGAGATGGTCAGTAAATCACATCAAGAATATATTACTTAAACTCAATTAGACATATGTAGTAAGCATAACTAGTTTAGAAGCCAATATTCAGGCCATATGTCAATACAAACAAAGGTGTTCTATAAAATGATTAGTGCATTTCCTGGGCTCAGGGAATGGGTTCAAATTGTGATTCTTGACACCTTCATGTGTGTCATATTAGGTTTGTACTTTCTCTTCAGTGTGAATTTTGACAAATGTAGAATAATCATTTGAAATAAGTTATTATTATGAGACAATAATTCTGATACTCGTACTAATTTTACAGTAATTAGTCATATTGATTTACGCGAACACTCCTTTATTGATTTTAATTGTGAACCATATTTTTTTCTTATAGCCCATGTTCTAGTTCTAGAGAATATACATGATATAGTTCGAGCCATTAAATGTTTTCCTCCTTAGTCAGACCTCTTTATTAGAATAGCTCTAATAAACATTAAACATAAAACAGCATCTTGTTCCAATTCCAAAATTTAAAAAAAATAAAATTCTATTAACTAATAGAAGCTAAGTGACTTGACATTTCAGATGGTAATCAAGATGTTAGGGTTATGACCAAGTAAAATGCTCAGGAGCAGAAAGAGGCAGATGATGTGAACAGTGTTCTAGGACATGGACATTTGTTGGGTTCCTTGTCTCTTTGAGAAAGATGCTGCATATTTACCCAGAATTCCTGGCAGCCATGGCGATTGAATATGGATTATGTGTCTCCATGAAGATGAGATGATCGGCTCAGAGGTGCTGGATGTGTGTCTGCACTGGGGAACATGTGTTTGGAGGCTTGTGAATGTTCCCTCCCTGTTGTTAGTGCAGTGAGGAGGAGGAATGCACCACGGGGGACGGGGACAGATGGCCCAAATTCACACACAGACACACAGTCCTGTGCTCCATGTTGGACCTGGGCCCTATTCACATACAGCAGCTAGTACGTTCAGATACAATGTGTGCTCCGCTAAGCTGCTGCTAATTATTGATGTCAGGTGTGTAGCCAGGGGTGAGCGCAGTGATGGGAAATTGTGCTTTTTCATTCTTTGAGGACAGCCCAGAGGAAAGCCTAAGTTTCACTTGCAAGGGAACTGTTGATTATATTAGATTTATTATATATTTATATATTAATATATATATATATATTTTTCTTCGTATTTAAGAAGAAATATTGATTTTACATTTTCAATCTAGGCTATGGTTTTGTGGCCAATGTGGTCATTTTGAAAAGTACATTTATGAAAACAAAATGCTTCTGTTACAAAATAATATACTTTTTATTACAAGAACAAACATTATACAATCTGTGTACTACAACATGAAAGATACAACTTGAAATTAGCTTAAAATTGTATCCACTTGGACCAAATTATAATTTTCCATGATGTCTCTCCATTGACTCACATGATCACTTATTGACCAATTTCTTGCTATCACTGTATTGCATTGAATTATTATAATTAATGTGGTACAAAAGTTTAAGCATTAGGTATCATTTTCATTCTTTTTAACTATTGACACAAAGGGACAATAGTAAGGGGATAATTGGCGTCTTTTTGAAGCCCTTGCTTTACCTTCTCCATCCTATATTAGGATAATTTGTATCTGTCTGTTTGGATCTTTTCATATATTTCCAATCAGCCCCTTGGATTGTTACTGGTCAATCATTTCAAATCCGGTGCCAGTAGATCTAATTCTCTCAGTGCTTCAGCAAGAAACACTGGGTCTTAAACGCAGACGGTGGCAAACTTTAGATGCCCAGATTTCTGTACATTCAAAGGCTTTGTGGATGCTATGTGCCGTTACATAACACCTTCCTCTTCATGCATGGCTTGTTAGGTAAGTTTTGGGAATGGGCATTAGAAGGTGGGAAGAGGAACTTTCCTTCCGCATCTGGTAGTGCCCTTTGCAGAGGCTGTGCCGAGTCTGCAGTTGAATGATACGCTCCGTGGATTTTGAAAAAGCGGTGCGTGTTCTGTATGTGGCTTATTTAGGTAAGACCGGTTGTTTTGTATGGTTAATTTCAACATAAACAGCAAAGTAGAGTGGAGAAAATTCTAGCTGCTACAATTGTCCTAATTTGTTACATCCGTCTTTGCTTTTTGTCTGTTGGGTCTATTGGACACTTCCCCTCACCAGATGTTTCCATACAAACCTTTTTATAAACATTCTTCATTTGATCATAAACTTAAAAGCATTGTCCACCTATGAGCTGCCTCTAGACATAATTGTTGTCAGCCACGGCTTTTCCATTTCATAGAGAATAGAGTCCTTACTCTTTAAACAAGCCTATTTTTACTACTATGGCGTGTCCAGAGCTTTGAGTTCACACACAACCAGGAGTTCTTTAATGTGCAATAACTATATTATTTAGTAACTTAAAAGACACATCTTATGCGAAATTTGAACCATGTGGCAATATTGTTCCCTCAGACATGATGGCTGTTTTCAGATCCTTCCATGCTAATATCAGAAACCTCTCGCGCAAACTTGTAACGCCGCCCCTTCTGTCAAAGAGCTCCTGTCTCAGTCCTGTAATTGCTGGGTTGCAATCACGTGGTCCAAAGGGGTCCGTAGGACAGGAAGTATTTTGTCCTATTAGTTAGACTGGGCAATGTAGGGAGACGGACACATAGCTTTTCGCAGCTTGACATAACTCTTATTTGGAGTGAAAACTATTGAATTAATTAAATATTTTCAACAATGAGGAGGATTAAGGGGTTTATAAGGTTAAGGTTATAGCGCCGACAGTGGATGGCCTCTGATCATTAATATAATAAATTGGGCACAAATATTACTTTTAACAATGTATGAAGCGAGAAATATGACCCTTTATTGTTATTGCGGTGATTTGTTGAGCCGTAATCTTTAAAAAAAGTTCAGACTTTTCCAGGGGGAAGCTTCGTAGCAGTAAGCTAACAGTGGGGGGCTGCAACGATCGCAGAGCAATCGCACAGAGCTCGGGGACTACTTTAGAAATGACCCTGGTGCGAACAGTCCCAGACCCTGGTTTTTACAGTCCTAGTCAAAAGAAATAATAACGATGAAAAATCGCTCTTTTAACATAAGGGCCAGATGAAAACTAGATTCTTTGTTAGAACTTACATTATTCAGCCTCCTTTTAGTTTTTTTATAAGAACACACATATAACATATATATATCTCTCTCTCTCTCTCTCTCATATATATATATATATATATATATATATATATATATATAAATAACAATAAACAATTTAATCGAGTTAATTACAGCTTAAAATTAATTTATTGTAATTAATCACATTTCGAACTAACGGAACAATTATGCCATATTCTGTAAATGGTTGTTTAAATGGAAAATATTGACAACACAGTGTACATATGTACTGTATTTGTTTATTCTAACAATAAGTCCACATAAAACGGCATTAACATTTTCTTTAGTTGACAGTATTTTTTCTAAGTTGTATTAAAAGCAGTAATTTAATTGAAAAATTGAGCGCATTAATTCAGCTTGTGTATGAATATTTACAGTCTATGGTATGAATTCGGTCCATAAAAAGTGCTGAATAGAAACTATGGGTGATACTCGTTCTCCTAGCATCTCTAGCATCTGCAGCGCATGTAATCAACAGCAGCATGGTAGGAGAAGGTGGCAATACCTCGTCTGGCTGTAACTGCAGAAACAGCAGTAAAACAGCCCAAAAGACGCAAAAGTGAGGAGAAGAGGGAACTAAAGAAAAAAATGATAAAAGAATAAATTAAGCCCGGGTGAACATGGCTAGCTTAAATTGTATCCTCTGGAGAGACCAGCGGGAGCGGGACCGCCTCGGACTAACTTTGGACGTGAAACTAGCTGTAATCTTTCAGTTATTGAACTGTATATTTTGTTAGCCATGAGTTGCTTTTGTACAATTTCGTCAGTGATTGCTGTACAGTAGGGTGGTCCTTACAGAAGGGTACATTTTCAAAATTCATATTTGTTCAGCTCCAACCCTTTACATTTTCTGGAATAGCAGGAAAAAACTCTCCTGGTATTTTTTTTCAATTCCAACAACATTTACCCCTCCCTCAATGAGACTGAAGTTTAACCTTATTTGTCACTATCACTTACAACAGGGAAATAACAAATCAAACTATGCTGAAGTTTAAGATGCCTCTATTATCTCATATCCCCTATGGGGATACTTGGTATTAGCTTTCAGCCCAACAATTCACTTTTTACTGACTGTCCTCTCAGGAACAAGGAGTCATAGTACTAGTAGTACTTATGTCAGTGTAGCTATATCAGTGTTGTGCCAGTTTACAGCTTTTCTGAACTAGTTATGTTCATACATGCTCAAAGTGAACAGTTCACGTTCAAAGTTCGCAATTTTAATTCTGAACTACAGTAGTTCAAAGTTACGTTCATTTTACTTTTTTTGTGAGATATTCAAATAAATACTTTTTTTCACACTGCAAGCTAGAAATCACTATATGTGATATAATATATATATACAGTGCCTTGCGAAAGTATTCGGCCCCCATTTCAGTCTTCAAACATAAAGATATAAAATTAATTTTTTGTCATGAATCAACAACAAGTGGGACACAATCGTGAAGTGGAACAAAATGTATTAGATAATTTAAACTTTTTTAACAAATAAAAAACTGAAAAGTGGGGCGTGCAATATTATTCGGCCCCTTTACTTTCAGTGCAGCAAACTCACTCCAGAAGTTCAGTGAGGATCTTTGAATGATCCAATGTTGTCCTAAATGACTGATGATGATAAATAGAATGCACCTGTGTGTAATCAAGTCTCCGTATAAATGCACCTGCTCTTTGATAGTCTCAGGGTTCTGTTTAAAGCGCAGAGAGAACCATGAAGACAAAGGAACACACCAGGCAGGTCCGAGATACTGTTGTGGACAAGTTTAAAGCCGGATTTGGATACAAAAAGATTTCCCAAGCTTTAAACATCTCAAGGAGCACTGTGCAAGCAATTATATTGAAATGAAAGGAGTATCAGACCACTGCAAATCAACCAAGACCCGGCCGTCCCTACAAACTTTCATCTCAAACAAGGAGAAGACTGATCAGAGATGCAGTCAAGAGGCCCATGATCGCTCTGAATGAACTGCAGATAACTACAGCTGAGGTGGGAGAGTCTGTCCATAGGACAACAATCAGTCGTGCACTACACAAATCTGGCCTTTATGGAAGAGTGGCCATTTCTCAAAGATATCCATAAAAGTCTCTTAAAGTTTGCCACAAGCCACAAGCCACCGGGAGACATACCAAACATGTGGAAGAAGGTGCTCTGGTCAGATGAAACCAAAATCAAACTTTTTGGCCACAATGCAAAACGATATGTTTGGCGTAAAAGCAACACAGCTCATCACCCTGAACACACCATCCCCACCTCAGCTGTAGTTATCTGCAGTTCATCCAGAGTGATCATGGGCCTCTTGGCTGCATCTCTGATCAGTCTTCTCCTTGTTTGAGATGAAAGTTTGGAGGGACGGCCGGGTCTTGGTAGATTTGCAGTGGTCTGATACTCCTTCCATTTCAATATAATTGCTTGCACAGAGCTCCTTGAGATGTTTAAAGCTTGGGAAATCTTTTTGTATCCAAATCCGGCTTGAAACTTCTCCACAACAGTATCTCGGACCTGCCTGGTGTGTTCCTTTGTCTTCATGGTTCTCTCTGCGCTTTAAACAGAACCCTGAGACTATCAAAGAGCAGGTGCATTTATACGGAGACTTGATTACACACAGGTGCATTCTATTTATCATCATCAGTCATTTAGGACAACATTGGATCATTCAAAGATCCTCACTGAACTTCTGGACTGAGTTTGCTGCCCTGAAAGTAAAGGGGCCGAATAATATTGCACGCCCCACTTTTCAGTTTTTTATTTGTTAAAAAAGTTTAAATTATCCAACAAATTTCATTCCACTTCACGATTGTGTCCCACTTGTTGTTGATTCATGACAAAAAATTAAAATTTTATATCTTTATGTTTGAAGACTGAAATATGGTGAAATGTTGAAAGGTTCAAGGGGGCCGAATACTTTCGCAAGGCACTGTATATAATTATATCCTGTATGCACAGGATGAGAGAGCCTTTTGACTCAAACGATTTACGTGGTTTTCAATGGGAGCAAACTTGAGTTGTCCCATCTTTGCTCATAAGTACTACAAACAGAAATGCGCTGCAGTGCGTGTGTCTATACTTTATGTCAAATGTAAACGGCCCTGTGTCACTGACTTACCCTTTGTTTTCATCACACTCGGGCACATGTGAGTCCAACAACCCATGAAAAGCATTAGCTTCCTGCGCCGCACCGCAACACGGAGTCAGGGTGCGTTCACAGACTGTGGAAACCATGGGAATTTTTGGTTTTCGGCGGAAAAAGTATGGAGAATACAGTAGGGAGGAACTATCTCTCGTTGCGTTTCAAAAGAGAAAACAGATGTCACTCAGTTTTCAATGGAAAACAAATTGTCTGCCGTTCATGACACATAATGTGAACTTATTCACGATAAAGTTCTTGATTAAAATCTCTGTTGCGTTCAGTGTTCAATAAACGCGTTCTTTTGAACTCGTTCACGCACAACACTGAGCTATATACGATTGGGGCCTTGCTGAACTTATCAGGGGGGATGTTGTTTGACACAAAAGTCTCCAACACTGGTCGAAACAACGGAGCTTGTATCCTCTAGCATTTTTTGAGCAGCAGAAGACAGAGGAAAACTAAGCTGAGTATAGACTGGCTGAGCAGCTGTAAAGAGAACAAAAACAGATATTTGGGATAGAAACTGAAAGTTGGATAATGGATATCAGAATCAGAATCATTTGTATTGCCATGTAAGTAACAAGAGGTCACAGACTCGGAGATTGCTTTGGGTCCCAATGCCATTTAGTCAGATGTTAAAACTTAAATTTGTATTCAAATATTTATTGTTAAATGTTGTATTTGTTCCCGAACGATGAGCAACCCAAAGGGCCGGATGGAAATATTTACAGGTCACCGAGGGAGGGGTAGAGGTGGTCCAATTGAGACAAAAATTCACGAGGGGAGTTTTCTCAGTTAAACCAACAAATTTAATGGGTTGGAGCTTAGAATTACCAACTTAAAGGTATTTAAGGACCACCCTACTGTACTGCTTATAAGGAGTTGTGCTAATGCTATCTAATGCCTACCTGCTTTGTCGCCATCTCACACACGTGTCCGCGTCACTTCTGAGTGTTATCATGGGATGCATGGGCGGGTCCTTCGCTACATGCCTTAATGCGAATGTGAATGGTTTTCAAAAGAGATCTCTCGCTTAAAGTGTTCCACGTGCCGCTCAGGGGGTTTGTGTTTTTGCCCTGACCCATGAAAAATTAGAGGGAACATTGACTGCATGCCTCTCTGTATTCCAATTGGTGGAATAATAGAGTGGAGTAATAATAGGCGCCTGCCTTTGCCTGTGTGATCACATGAATTGTCCTTCCATGTGATCAGACCACGAAAACTGACTTCTCGGATATGGCCTTTTAATCACATTGAGGACAATTCAACATAATGGTTGTGTTTTGGAGTGCTCCAAAACACTACCTACCTTTTCTGTTGGTCAGCAAGTACCTACAGATAATGTACTGACATAAAGTAGAATGACATGCAAGCCAAAATGATGCAACGTTGTATAAGAACTAATAGAGGTCTTGTATTACGTTGCATCCTTTTGGCTTGCAGTTCTTTGGGTCAATGACCCAAAATATTATTATTAGATATTTGTATCAAAATTGTGGGGTTGAGTATCGGTGTGGTATTTGTAAGTTTGGATATCCTGTATTAGAACAGTAGTGGATGGAGCCAATTAAATATGTTGTAAAGATGCTTTGAACTGAAAGCAGCATGAAGTTCAAAAAGATAACATTCAGATATTCACTGGTCTTTTCTCTCTCTCTGTAGGTATGCCATGGCTCTGTACAACCAGCACGTTTGCCCTGTGGATAATTGGTATGTGACACTATGATTTATGAATAATTAACCGTATTGGAAAATTGTAAGCAAAAGTGTGTGCAAAGACACCAATAATTTGAAAGGTGTTGGATTCAAGTGAGAGAACAATGGGGTGTCAACCTGGTCTGGGCCAGTGTGGCTGCAGGATTTCATTCCACCCAAGCAGGAGCACACCATACTCCACAAATTTCCTCAAATGACTCCAGTCTTAACCTAAAGGCTTGATGAAATGAGTGGAGTCTGCTGTACTCCTGCTTGATTGGAATGAAATTCTGCGGCCGCACTGGCCCTGGAACCAGTTTGACACCTTGTCTCATCGCTTGTGTGTAATAGTTTCAATCATTGACATATTGCACCAGATTGGAAAAAAAATACGTTTAAAGGTTTAAAAGTGCACTTTTATTAATCCCCGTAGGACAATTCATCCTCTGCATTTGACCTATCCTTATGCCAGTAAGGCTTACGTCGGGAGCAGTGGTCGCCATAGTACAGCGCCTGGGAACCCATCTCCAGTTGTTGATGCGCGGCTTGGTCAGGACCAGAGCTGGACGATTTTACCTAGTGCGCATGTTTTTAGCATGTGCTCCCATTATAGTCATCCTTTAAGTTAGAACTCCACACCATGAGTTAGCACACCATTTTAGTTAGCTTAAAAGCCTTGAGATAGTCCTGGTTGCAAGGTGGGGATACTGAAGGTAACCCAAACCCTCTCTGGACAGACCAGTGGATGTGACATGTGCTGTGTTTGCGTTTTCCAGGTTGTACAATCAGTCATGTGAAGAGGAGCTGTATTTGCAGAGTGGCTCGACACTGTGCTGCACTCTGGACCATGTCCCCCTCATCAGGTCTGTGCACTTCACACATTGAAATGCAGACATTGTTGTTCATGGACTGTATACTGTATATTTATTCACACTAAAGTTGTTTGAAAGTTGTTTATTGGCTGATGTAGCAATCAAACCAAATCTATTTATTTATTCTTTAGTCCATGTCATCATATTGCATACGTCATATACTGTACATTGTCATTACATTTGTGCAACATGAACAAACGGGACAAAAAGGAAGAAAAAATAACCTAAATTTCCTCGCCCTCATTTTGCAGGTTGCAAAGACATTGTAAAATTTTCACCCCCAACATCAACCATCCCCCTACCCCCAACGTCTATTCTAGAATTATTCTGTCCTATTCCATAACAACAAACTTACTGTACACTTAGATATTTTCATTTTCTTTATATTCAGGAAAATATTCTTAGAGTGTTCCATAATACATGCATTAAGAGTTCCGAGCTTCCGGCTCGACCGCACGGCATTGTGGGTAGTTTTCTCAAAAAAGTGGGCATCAAATCACTCTGCCGTATTGGATTACATGTTGTGAACGTGATCTCTCTCTTGTTTTCAGCCCATAGATTGTTTTAATAGCTAAAAAATTTACCTTACCTTCAAAATGTCTGGAATTGGTGAAGATTTTTTCATTTAACAAAAAAGCAATGCATTTATTTTTTGTGGTTTTAGATGTACACACAACCGACTGACTATAGAGCTTCAAATAGCTTACGAGGATCGAATGCTTACACGCGAGCTTTATAAACTTTCCCAAAGCTGTACTTCGGACATATTTGTCTGGTGTGGAGCTTTTGAATGTAGAGAAGGCTAAATACCTGGGGCACATAATCAGGAGTGACATCAGTGAAGATGATGACATTCAGAGGCAGTACTGTAAGCTGTATGGACAGGCTAACACTTAAGCACGGAGATTTCACATGTGTACAGATAAAGTGAAAATAACTTTGTTCAAAGCCTACTGCACACCTCTCTATACTGCCAGCTCACTGTTTGTTTCTTAATAATGTCCCCACTCTGAATGCTCTGATCACAAATGTTATTTATCCTCGTAAGTAGCTACTTGTAGCTCTATAGTCAGTCGGTTGTGTTTACATCTAAAACCACAAGAAAAAAATGCATTTCTTTTTTGTTAAATGAATAAATCTTTACCTTACCTTCAAAATGTCTGGAATTGTTTTAATAGCTAAACAATTCACCAATCTATGGGCTGAAAACAAGAGAGGGAGATCACGTTCACATGTAATCCAATACGGCAGAGTGATTTGATGCCCACTTTTTTGAGAAAACTACCCACAATGCTGTGAGGCCGGAAACTCCTAACTATTAATGCATGTAATGAACAAAACTTATAGACACACACTTCTGTTTCGTAGTAGTTCTTAAAGATGCAGTTATGAAATGATATTTCCGTCTGTGGGTCAAGTTCTCCAACATTAATTTTAACCTCTCTTGAACGGCTTAAGGCAATAATTTGTGTTTGGCTTTCCATACAATTAACAATATTTGCAGATCAACCAGTTCTTAAAGTAGCAAAAAGTAGCAATATGGAAGAATTTCATGTCATGTCATCATTAAATGGCCCTAATCTGTCAAAAGGGGTTAATAAACCGTGCTCTTTTCGCATACTTCTTTAAAGATCTTATGCCGGGTTTAAAAATATTTTTTTGTGGATATCAAAATTGCATGACAATGTCGATCTGAAATAGATTCCGGCAAAAAAAATCCTATATTTTATAAAAATAATAATTCATGTTTTTCATGAATTTAAGTTGTCTATGCTCTAACCTGTGTGTGACGTTATAGCGGGTAACGCCCATGCATTGAAAACCATGGATCTATGCCACAGGACTGCCTTTTCTCTCTTCTCTCCACTGATGCCCAACACAATACTGCACTCTACAGGTGACAATTCGGGCGTTCTGCTCTCCCAAAATTTCATCCACTGAGCGGCGCTGTGATCAAAAAATGACACCGTTTGTTGCCCAGTTCACTTCCGGTTGATTTCATACAATGGCGAATATGGCTCACGAAAACAACAAACGATTGACAGTGCCTGAATTGCGTGAAAGGTTGAAGCGAAAGGGTATTTGCAGTGTGGGAAAACGAAAGGAGGAATTGTTGTTGCTAGTTCAACGAGCGGATGGTGTTTATGAAGATTTAGAAGAAGATGACAGCGAGCAGAGTGAACGAAAACGGCTGTGTGTGCGAGTGACAGATGGTAACAATGAGAATGAAGTTCAGCTAAGAGGGAAGAATGTGAATTGGACTGATGATTTGCGCGATATGCCACTAGTTAGAGACGGGAATGTATTTGCATAATGTAAAATGACGAAAACACTCAACCATTTAGAGAAAATGCGCCGGGCAGAGAGAACCGGAAGTTGCGAAGGCAAGTGTTACCCATAATGCAACGCAAAATTCAGTCGCTCCCCCGCCCATCGGATGGAATTTTGGGAGAGCAGAACGCCCGAATTGCTCACTACACACAATTGCCGTTTTGAGAGTGAAAATGTGTCTGAGGTGGGATTTGAACCCCAGTGTCTGGATTGGCAGTCCAGCGACACAACCACTGGACTATCTCAGTGCCAACAAAAGATCACAATCTAGTAGTAATCCATTACTCGCTGTACACCGCCTTGTCATCTTTAATATCTGCGAAAAAAGAACGAATACCAAATTGTAAACAACTTACAGCGTTGAAACGTACCCACTCTGACGTCACCAACGGCTGTGAAGTTTTTTCGTCTCTAAGGGCGTTGCTATGGGGTTATTTCGATTTGGGGGGATCAGACAAAAAAAAACAACTGATTTTGAAACCTTTAGTAGTTCTCTTCTAATATAAAATGGTATTAAAACTGTATTTCTAAATAAATCAAACCCGGCATAAGGTCTTTAACTGATAACAGTAGTTCTGCTGAGATATTCAAATTTCAAAATTAGTTTTACAGCCCCTAAATATTGTTATTGTTTTCATTTTGTTGTCCCGCCCTCCACGGTTATACCAATCAGAAAGTCCGTGATCCGGGTTGCCAGAACTCACTGCGTTGAGCTAATCACACTGGTAAAGTTACGTGTGGCTGCAGTACGATAAAAGGTCTTGTTATGATCATAAAATCATTAATGACAAAACAAGGACTAAAACGAGGATTTCTATTGGGGCCTTTGTGAAAAAGGTGTTGGCTATAGATGTTGTTCACAAAACTCTTGCCTATTCAATTATTATGGTCACACCTGGATTCCTCTGGACAAAAGTGGTACTGCACTCATCACACAAATGTTTACATATTGCTCCTTTTAAAAGAGAACTATCCTTATTAAAAACAATTTTTATATATAAAACACATTACAAACATGCATTTCCCATCACAGCAATGTGTTTTTATGCTGTAGATCAGGGGTCCCCAATTAAATTGAAAAGAGGTCCACTTACTTAAAGGCGCTATACCCGTTTCTGCAATGTTTGAATGTTTAGCACCGCCCCCCAACTCGCTCAATGGCTTCTCATTTCCCCTACGCTCTCATAACACAGAGCCACCTAGTTTTATTTGCGATCTGATAAATATGCTAACATTAGCATTAGCGCAACTTCTTGTAAGCTGTGCAACAATCACTGATGAAATGGCACTAAAGCAACGCACTGCTAACACAATATATAAGTAAAAGAATACCGCTAGTTTCGCGTCCGAATGTATTAATTTAAAACCTTAGAATATATTCTAATATTTAATTATAATTAAATATTAGTAAATATTAAATATTACTCAAAGCAGCAGCAGCAATTCTTCCGATCATTTTTTCTTGATAACAGAACTCTCAAACCAATAATGACCGAAGCCCCAATGCAACCTCTGTTTGTAATTCAGGTGTGTAAAATACTGCCATTACTCTGCAAGTACAACAAGCTATCAGCGCCTGTCACTACACACTTGTCTGTGTAGAGAAGCCAACGGAGCTAGCGGAGCTAGCCACGCTCAATAAACAACTACATATCTATCAATCAACACCATTAAACGTCAATCGGACAATACAGTATACATATACATCCTTAACACACATGCACGGATGATTTCAGAATTTGCTGTTAACGTTTTCATGACAAAAATACTGTTTCAATGTGACAAAAAGCGATTGCGAAAAACCCGGAAGTTACCATGAAACAACTAGCTAGCTTAGCTGTTACCTGCCTAGCACGTCCCGGTGAAACCTTTGGGAGCTAGGTTAACTATTTTATTTGCAGTCATTAAATACATTTAGAATTACAAGGGTTGTCTAATATTTGTTCACATTTTTTTATTCAATTATTTTGTTCATCATTTTTTATTTTAGAATTATATTCGAATTTTGAAGTCGAAGCCCTGGTGTTAAGCAGCGCTGTAGAGGCTAGAGGACGCAGGCTGTTCGCTGCTTGTTCTGTGAGCGGAGGAGAAAGAGCGGCCCGCTCAGACTCTACTCAGCACTTTTCACTGCTTGTAATTCTTACACAGCTGAATCAATTACCTCAAGTTTTCAATTAAATGATGTATTATGATACAACTTGTATGTAGTAAAAAGCATTTTTATGAACTACTTAGAAAAAAAATCGGGTATAGCTTCTTTAATCAATTCAATAGATTAGGGTCCGGACATAATACAAATATTTGATTTCTCAGAAATCCATTCAAGGTATTTCATATGAAAAGATTAAAAAACCTTTAACAACAACAACTGCAGTAGTAAGAATTAATAAAAAAAAAATACATATAGGTGTATATAATTCACGCATAACATTAATCTCCTTTGTTTATTTCTACACAACACACCACAAACCTCTCCCAAACCGTCAGAGCAAAGGTGCACCCTTTGCTCTGACACCACTTAATTTTGGAGGATAAGGGGATCTGGCAGACTTTTTTGTTTATGTCCTTCCTTCCCATCAAATAACGTATCTTTCATTGCCTCCACACACTCTGACCACAACATACGCTTTTTATGTCCAAAATCCACTGCACTCGCAGTGAGCACTAAAGCTGGACATACGC